TAATTGAATTATACTAATTAGCGCTTTTTTATATTAAAAAAAGGTAATTTATTTTCAAGAAATCTCAATTCAAAGTTTAACTTTCATGAGGAATTATTTTGCGGTTGGATGCACATCACTTCTTTCCGCATATATATTTCGTGAAAAGGAGAGTGTTTTGCCTGGTGTGTCTAATTTAAGCCGTTTGGCGTAGTAGCAGATTGCTGCTATTGGGAATGCCTTCAATCGTAGAGCTTATGAAAAATAAATCGCATTTTTTGGCCTCGCGAAATTGTCAGTCCTCTTCACCTCGAGGCTGAAAGAAAGTTTATTTATTTATTTATATCAAATGGCAGGCGTCTTGATGGTTATCATTAGCCCTTTAGTTGACTTCAGGCTTCAAGGAGGGGAAGAAACATCAAATTTAAAAAGTCGAGTGGGGGGTGGGGGAACAGAAGAGTGTTTCAAAGATGTAAGAGACAGACACAAAGGTAGAACAATGGTGAGGTGATTACTGTGAAAATAGTCGAATATTGCATAGGGTGAGGTGGTGGTAGTTTGAAGTGACAAGTCAACTGCCAGTCAATAGACTTTTTTTTGCCGTATGAATATACATTGCCCAGGGTGCACCACGTGGAGGTAAGTCTATTGCACATCCCAAAGAAAGTCTAAATACGTGAAATTGGCAAATCAAAGTGATTTCAGCATATTTGCCAACATATATATTGAGATCTGCGTAACAGGCATAAGATGAATAAAGCGCGTAGAGTGTGGGACAAGATTAGTCGGTCGAATCGCCAGTAATTTACACCCAGGCAGAAGTACAAGAGAATAGTACTCCTGTAGTCGGCAAAGATTAATTTTGATGCCCTTATAAGATTGCCAACAAAGCACACATTATCCTTAAATGGATCACTACATTTCCCTCCAAGAACGCTTTGAAAATATAAACGCGGAGTTCTTGGCCCAAACAAGTCGGAGAATATGGCAAAAAAAGCAAAAATATCTGTATGAAGAGACAAAGACGATTGCTACATGATTCAGGAGATTGTAAGATATATTTTCAATTTGAATTTGTTCCTCACACTTAAATGAATGTTAAAATACCTTTTTTTATTAGTTGGGAGTTATTGCAAAGCTCTTTTACTTTAAACCATAATTTGGTGAATAAGGCTAACATTTTATTAATTTTGAAAAAAATATAAAAATTTGGACCAAAAGTAATTGCATTGCATAAACGATGTTTAACTATGTAAAGCAGGAGTCATCTATTGGCAGCAAGTCTGCGATTATTTCTATTCCAGTGGCTCAAGGCGTCAATCACATGAGGTGTTATAGAAGAATCCCTCTGACTTATGGAGCATAATTTTCATATTTGAGGAATATGAAGGAAGTCTAAATTGAAATTAGATAGCTCTGATTCACATTTTTAAAGTATTTTCTGTTAGGGATCAATTGAATGCAATACGGAATGCAGAGCCTCGGAGAAAATTGATTTACTTTCCATTTTGCTTTTTGACCTTTTTATAATTTACTTAAGATTTTTTAATGGAGAATAGATCTTTTCACTTAGGTTTTACCCACTAATTAAATTGACAGAAGTGATGATGAGTAAATAACACGTATTAAAGTGTTTTATATGGAATATCTCAAAAGTCACTTTTCAAATAAAAATATTTCTTTGAATGAGCTTCAAGCATAATTTGATTCAGGCTAATTTTTGAACCCACATTTTTAACTTTTTCTTTTGATTTGAGAGGTACTGTTTTGCTTAAATAAACAATGATTAACAAGAAACGTCTAACCACGCTGAAGTAGGTAAATTTGAATCTATGCCAAATTTAGAAACAGAAAATGCTTAACTTCTTGAACAATTGAACTATATTTTATTACATTTTGTAAGTTTTGTGACTATGGCGCTTTCGAAGATAAAACCTGCCAGACTTCGATGAAGAATTACAAGGTGCTAAATCAAACATCAGTTTAAGGCGAATTCCAATTCTGCAAATGCAGCTTTAAAGATGAAAAATTGTGGAAAAAACTGCAGAATTTTTTTTATGGAAAGGGGAGGGAGTTGTAAACAATCGGAGCCCTGAACACTGTTGCACGCACTCGCGCATCTTGAAGCCAATCCAACGAACGCAGGAAGCGTGTGCATTTCAACTGGCCCAAATGCTCACACGTCTGGTCGGGCTTCCTGTTGGTGATTGGTTATTGGTCGCGGTTTGATTCGTCCGCTCGATGCACGCACGAACACATATTCATGCCAAGAGAATGTGATTTCAAATATGTGAACAGATATTTTCTGTCCGTCTTCCCTTTATCTACGCCATTAATAGCAAAAATCTCTCTTGTGGATAAACCACTGCTTTTAATAATTTGGAAGAACTGGGAAATTTTTTGAGGGAATAATATGCCAATCCAATGCAGAAGAGTATTGAAAATAAAGCCAGAAATTCATCGAGAAGCAGGAAACCGAATGCGCCCACTCGGAGGGGATTCCAAGAGGAGCTGGATTTCTCGTGGAACTTTACGCCCGTGGATGCAACACCAGCTGGTTGGAATATCCGGAATACACCATCTGAATGCTCAAGAGTCAATAATTTGGAAGAATACCTGCCCTCTCGATCATCATATAGCCGACGTGAAAAGAGTCATCGCTTGATGGCTTCAGGAAGACACAAATCCTCGCAATACTGTACGCATTTTTAATACAGAATGTCATGTTTTTAAGGCGATAAAATTGGGTAAAATATTTACCAAGAACATATCGGCAGAAGTTATATTTTCGCACATTTAAGTTATCTTTACTTTCGATTTTGTCTACGTACAAGAAACATCTTGGTACACTTCGAATTTGTTTTTCTCCATTTAAGCGACAATTCAAATAGCTCACTTCCTTAAGTTATGCGCTCTTTTATGCGAATTTTGTGATTCCACTAGTTTACTCTAAGTTTCGCCTTTTAGTCAGTTAATTTCGTCATTTTTTGGCAATTTTCAGAGCAATGTATTGAGATTTAAACTATAGACATAGCAAGTGTGGTTTCGTTTTTTAACTGGAAAACTTATTCATTTCTTTCAAAATTAAAGGCTATTTATTTTCCAAGCAATGACCTTGCTGATTTCAATATATGAAAACTCATTCTCTCAATTTTTTCTACCTTTTCAGTTTATTAATTTTAAGTGTATCAATGATAAAAAATGAAATAAATCTTTGTTTTGCTTAAAACACCCTTTTGAGTGATTTTGTGTAAGCATTATGAGGGAGAAAATTTATATTTCATGTTCATCTAATTTTGCATTTAGATATCATTGCTAAATTTTTCTGTGCTTTCAAATTGTAAGCTGTGCTTTAGGAATATTTAAGCAAAATCTTACATTTATATAAAATTTGGACAAATCCTCACTGTCATCGGTTATAGTTATATTCATTCTACGCTTCCAAATAAGATAGTATAGGGATTTTTCCATGGCCAGATCCCAGAGTTAGCCATTTTGGCTTCATATTGCATTGCTAATTATTAGAACAAAAAATCGATTACATTAGCGTTGATAATTTTTGAAAAATAGCCACATTTAAACAACCCCCTACTCAAGGTATATAAAGCACTTTGCGCGTCAAACAAATAATTGTTTATCTTATCTTCATTATTTAAAGAATATATTTTAGTTCCGAATTCTAAGTGTATTCGACCACCTTGTTTCCGAGATATTTTATTATTTGCAACACGCCTTAATGTAAAGTGAAAACAAGTAAAAAATTAAGAATATTTAATAAATTTGCGGTAGCACTGTTTATGATGGTCTACAAGCTTAAAAGTTTATGTTATTATATCTCTATTGTGTTAAAATTGAAAGTCATTGAAGGTTAAGTATGAATGATTTGCCCTCTTAAATTCTGGAAGACGACAAGAGATGTTGTGGTGACTTCTTTTCCTCTAGATTAAGTCGGCTCTCAATAAGAACTGAACAATTTGACTAGAATCTTCTATAAGGCAGATGACAGGTTGTTGTGTTTGAGTTTGGCAATTTTTTAAGCATTCTACATCTCGATTCCAAAATGCTAAATGAAATATGACTTGTGCATTGCCTCTCTTCTGAGCATATTGCTGTCAGCATCTCTAACTCCGTTTGACCACTTTTCGCCAAGGAGAGTCAATTTATTTTTCCAAACTTAAAATTTGCCATTTTTAAATTAATGAAGGTGAAATATGAATAAAATGGATTTAAATATGTGGGATATGGGGAAATTATAACACTTTTTATGATTTTATGCATTCGAATAGAGATTGTCAAAAGAATTGTAGAAAACTAATAACTTAAATGGTCAATCATTGCATACTACTTATTTTATTTTTCGAACATTTTTCCGTAGTATTGTGCCTCAGAATTAATGTTTTTTTGAAAAAAATTAACTCACTAATATTAAAATTGGATTTTGAATTAAATTCAAATAAAGTTAATCAGTTTATTTTTTTCACTACAGATATTCTTACATTTTCGCAAATAATTTAAAGCATGTAGCGGTTTCAAATATTTACTTACCTGCTGTATAAAAGCATAAATTTTAATTTATTGCCCATAAATGGGTTGATTGCAATTTCTGAAGACCATTAAATGCGAATTCCATCGTCTGACATAATTGCCGAAGTGTTAGTTAAATGACATTAAAATTATAAGAATTGCATTGTGAAGATTCTGTTGAAATGATTAGATAAAGTGGGACGGGCCTTACACCTTGAGATTGGTGTTCAAGCTTTAATGTGATAAGTAAAGAGAGCGAGTATTTGCACATTGCTCAAAATTTGACCTTGGGACACTGAGGGAGGGTTCAATATGCTGATCATCTGTCAAATATCATATACACATCTACACACTTCAGCATTCCCAAAACTAAGAGATCGGTCCCTTTGAATTAAAGGCTAAGTGGCGTTATTTTTCAAAGAAACATTTTTGTCTATATAATCAAACAACTTTCGTCATTTTTTTATTAAAAAAAAGGAGGTGAACAACAGTGATTTAAAATTTTGAAAAAAATTCCAAAAAGCTGAGGTGCGTGTTTGTTTCTATTTAGGCTATTTGTATGTACGTTTTTCGAACGTACTAATCAGGAATTATTTATTTGATAAAATGTCCTTGAGCAATTTATTGAGTAAAATAAAATTTCTCAATCTCTTTTTCAAATGTGAGTTCAATGAGTTTTTAGTGCAGTTATTCTCCGCATACTAACCCAATTAAAAGTTAGCAATGAATAGGATCAATGAACTTTGGTAAAACTTACTCCAGTTTCACTTTATAAGGAGCAATTTTTAGACGAATTTTACTGACTAATTTCAATTAAAGGTATTTTCTTTAAAAGTTCCCAACTCTTTTTCGTATGCTTATTTGCGGTGACAACGCGAATGACAGATTGAAGTCGCATACCTACTCTGGAGACTATAAAAATAAGGAGACTATTTCCATGAATGGGTATTCCTCGAATGCCGCAAAAATAATCCACCACGGATAGGTGAGACGGGAACGAAGACTACGGAATTGTGAGGTATAGGAGTGCAAAGGACCGGAATGTCTAGTTGGATCATGTTTGATGACCCTATCAACGTAATTTATTGAAAACTTCCACCTCTACTGTTAACCTTGCGCTCATTCCTACAAACTGCCGTGTCATTTGAAGCAAATAGTGATGCGATGTCTTCCTCCAAATTTTGCTACAAATTTTGCTTAAGTTGAAATCAAAGGCCCACGTGAAAGCCAGTTGAGATTAAGCTTTGGATAAGAAGAATCATTATTAATTGGTCATATCTAAGGCAACAGCTTAATGAGATTGGCCAATTTTAAAGCTAAAATTGCAATTATTTGCCTCTATATATGTTAAGCGCTCTGCAAGAACGTGTCCTTCATTATTTAAATTAGTACAATTTCATTTTTTAAGGTATCTCACAATTTCCAGGTAGATTACGAAATATGCGCCCTTGAGAAGAAATAAAAGTTCTATTCTCTTTTTGTGGACATCAATGTATTTATCTCCAACTCTCTTGAGACCTATTCTTCGCTGAAATTCATCTTATCTTATATTTTCAAAAGACATTATTTTGGCCTAAAAAGTTTGAAGCTTAATTTCCTTAGAAAATCGCACTATCTAGAGAAATCAACTAACAAATTTTACTTATTTCTACTTTCTTTAGCATTAAAATTGTTAATGACTTGGTTAGAATGCATTTTTGCATTTTACTGTTTCTAAAAGAGCGTGTTGTGCTTGAAATCAATACTACAAAATTATGCTGGAGTTGATTAGTCGATCAATTAAACAAGTTCAATCAAATTGGCCAGCCTATTGTCATCTTGCGTAACAATTCGATATCGGAAATGGATGTTCGTCACCCTAATTCCCAATTTTTACTGACTCATAAAAAGGTAGGGTTCGAAGAATATTATTGGCTTGCATCGAGATCAGACTACTTGACTTACTCAAAATAAATTTGGCTTATTTTTTTAATTTCAGTGCTTTAAGATTGTTTTAGGAAGAATTGATTTCGAAATATCAAAGTATTATTGTTAACAATTTATTTCAAAATTCGCACTCCTTGTATTATGGCAATTCAAAACCCAATACAATGTTAGCTATACTGGTTGCTGTTCAATTCAGTTGATTCGCCATAGTTATTTCAATGAAACATTGTTAATACCATAGGTCAAACGAACGCATGCTAACCGCAGTGTTGGAGCCTAGTTAATCGGCAAAAATTATCATTCACTCACCTTAAGTACATCAAGATCAACAAAAATCATAACAATGGAATATGGTTATTTCCACCTTGAAAAGACTAGTTGCCTCCGGATGTTATATTGCTCTTTTGTACTCGATTGCCCTTAACGCCTTCAGAGTACTTGGAAAGAATATTTCTGTTGGTGCTTTTTCCTGCGCCTTTATGGCCACTTATTTCGAAGCACAGATCCGATTTAATTGTTCTGGTAGGGAGGATGATTTCAATGTTTCGCACCTTTGAATACTGTGTGGTTGCAGCACCTTCTCTCACAGAGCGTTTAGCTGGATTAAAAGTATAGGAATTGACCCAAGGGAGTTCAAGGTGTCACAACATGCTAAACAATGACTCCCCCACCCTTCCTGTTGTATCTAGCCGGAGCAGTTTCGGCGTCATTAACTCCAACAATGGTGTGCGGGGCGGGTCTCTGTCGCACCGAGCAGGTTGAAGTGTTTCTGGAGGCGTCTCCGGCCTGGGCCCAACAGCAAACAGCCAACACTGAATCGCGACGTTATGGTGCAAATCCCTTCGGCTTCTCCCTTCAACCAGCTAGTCCCAAAACCCGACACGATGAACCCCTCACCAATTTCCCTCTCATCGCTAGCGTCATTCCTGGTGGACCTGCCTTCCAGTAAGTTCGTGTTTTTTTCTTTTTTTACGCTAAAGGCACATTCCATGCGAGCATATGCCACGGTAGCAAATACTGATATGAGTTTAAAGATTTGTATATGCGTATCTACTTCATTGAAACTTAGATCGACTCAATTAGACTAAGTACCAACACTACCACTGGGAATACGGAAACACTAATCCACAAATCATGTTTTTAACTAGTATTAGAGGACCATATTTTACCTCAAAATAGCAACCAAAGTGACAAAAAGAAGTTGAGGAGAGTAAGAAACCAAGAATTTGTGAACAAGCTCGAATGCAGTGCCTGCCCTGTGTGCCCTAAAATTGACAAGATCGCCGCTCTTCCCTAAAACATGAGACTAATTCAGTTCACCTAGAAGTAAATGGTGTAAAATTGTAATTCCGTTAAATAGTTATCGGGAAAAAATGACATATGGTTCAGAAAAAACCATTGAGACACAGTTGGTCAAGGTCAAAGCAAACACCTTTTTCGTTAAATTTTCTTGAAGATCAAGTCCGTTTTTCAAATCGCTGAATGGCTTAATCCATTTTATGCAAGTGATTTCAGAAAGTCGTTTTGCGTAAAAAAATCGGCTTTGGTGAGCCGATTTCGAATTCCGCCAATTCCACTTTATTGGTCTGTCCTGGTAAAATGTGGTTGGTTGGTCATTCAGTCCACTGAACTCCACTCGTTTGGTACTTTAACATCTGATTTCCCAAAACGGAAATTTAAAACGATGCTCCAATGTTGCACTGAGCATGCACAAAAAAATATTCATGTTGTTTCAAGGAAGCATTCCCAATTCCTTTCTTTTGGAAGCGTAGTGTAGCGGTTCTTTATTGTTTTACACACGCATTCCAACCAGACAGGGTGGAATATATATTTAGCAAATGCAGTTATCGCCTTGCGTTCAAGTGGCAATCAGGACTATTAGCATAGAAAGGATTCCGACTCCTATTGGCTCAAAATAGACAAAACAGAAATTCACTTTCAATGGCGTGAATTACACCAGCAGTAAAGGCTAATATGTAATTTACTTCCGTTTCACGGCCCTCGTTTAGAGTATTTCGGTTGTACTTGGCAAATAAGTCAATTCATGGGCATTTCAACTTCAGACCGAGGTCTGGTGCATGATGGAGCTAAAATCGATCGCGAATGGAAACACCTTTATTCATTTTTATCCCAAATTCTGAAATGCTGACTGAAATTGTTAAAACATGAACGAGTTGTGTATGTTCTTTAGGCAGGAGGCCTTTGAACTATGGAGTTCCTAAAACCAAAAATATAAAGTCATTTCACATTCACTGGGCCCAATGCTCTGCCTACAATGGACTCCGGAGAAGATCTGATCAAATCTGAACTCATGTTGTCCCCCCTTTTTTCAAGCAGCATTACGTCATTTAATGAGTAAAGTTATTTGTGGAAATTTAATTTCTGAAAAAGGGCTTGAGTGAAGGTTCTAACTTAGAAGTCAATCCCCTATGACACATTTCAAACTTTAAACTTGCTCATTCGTTTGCTAGTTTATTGATCGATTTCTCATCAAAACTATCAGGAGAACACAGATCAATGATCGAATTATTATCGTTGGCTACACCACTTCAACATCTTCCCAAATTTAGAGACCAAGAAGGAGGGAGTGTTCTTACACGATCTTAAATCACTTGCTTGATCGTAGTAGAGCTCTCTCTTAGTAAACCACAGCTCAACTAGTTAACCAACTTTTAAGATGCAAGATATAACTTCATTTCACTTCCTGTCCCATGCCAAGTTACGCCTCATGTGTTGCTGAAATAAAGAAAGTTGGGAGTGGGAAATAATTTCGAAGTAAGGAAGGTAGTTTTAATTTCCAATTAGTTGAAAGGGAGG